AGTAGGCGAGGGCATGAAGCTCATAAGAGAAATTGCAGAGTAAAACAAGCTGAAACAATTAATGTAGAAGAATAATTGGTTGAAACATCACTGGGAGGTGCTCCCCATCATTGAAGGTCTTAGATTAAAATGCCTAGTTTTGGGAAATTCTGCCCCATTCTTTTGTAAAATCTACTGGAATGCACTTCACCATAGACTCCACCTAATCTATAGCCATAGGGCTCTACCCCCAGGACCTTGTAGTTTATATGCAATACATTATTACCATGTAATCTGTAGCTAGGGATCCCCCTTGACCTCTGTGGTATTTATATATTCTATAGCCAGCGGACTTTGCTCCCTGGACCTCCGTGATCCTTCAACAATACATCCTGGCCATAAACTCGACCAGTTTTAACCATATATTTCAGACCCCATGGTTGTTACACAATATGGCTAGGATATATTTTGATATGCCCAGGACATATTCTAATTAAATGAGGTGGACAAAGTTGTTGCTGCATGTAATTTGGATTTTCTTGGCATTTTGGTTCACTGAAAGTTGTAAGTGGATGGCAACTAAAAACAAAACTAACAAACTTTAGAAGTCTGGCTAGAGCTATTGACCTGATTATCAGCCTTTTGCAATTTGGAGCTTTATCCCTTTTGGAAGAATTGAAGAAAATTGTAGCATCATGAAATGGTTTTGCATTGTTTGAAGTAATTACAGTGCATGAAAATGTTATTTGTTGGTTTGCACCTTTGTCAAGTTTTTTCTTTGGAATTGTGTGGAGAATATTGCATATACATGAAATGGATTTAATGATAGTTGTTGGGTAGAAAAGTCATGTATTTAATTTAATGTAAAAGCCCCAAGGTCTGTCTTGTAGTTAGTGGCAGTAGTCAAAATACAATTATGATGAAATAGAAATATATGCATAAGAAACTCCTACATATGATTATTTTCAAAACAAAGTATTTGGGATATGGTTCATGCCAGGAAATGCAAAAGTTATGTCTTGACGTTCCTAGAAAATTATATTTTGACGATGATCAGGGTTCTCATTTTTTGTGTACATTTTAGGATCAAGGAAGTCAGCGTGTAAATAGATATTTTTAAACCGGTGCAAATGTTTGATGGTAATGACGATCTTATCTTACAGATGGGCATATCGTGCTTCACCAGCCAAACCAAGCAAATTTACGTTATATAAGGCAGAAATGGTCGGCGCGGTTATGTGGTGGTGGATCTTGTACCATCTTATGACTGAACCAGAGCACATTACTGTAAGTACATATGTAAATTTTATATTGATTCACAATATCCATTTTGTATGTGTGTGTGTGTGTGTATGCGTGCATGCATGTGCACATGCATGAGTGTGTGTATGTTTGTGTGTATGTATGTGTATGTGTATGTATGTATGTATGTATGTGTATGTACATGTGTGTATGTATGTACATATGTGTATGTATGTATGTATGTATGTGTGTATGTATGTATGTATGTATGTGTATGTATGTATGTATGTATGTATGTGTGTGTGTGTGTGTGTGTCTACACATACATATATATATCACACACACACACACACACACACACACACACACACACACACACACACACACACACACACACACACACACACACACACACACACACACACACACACACACACACACACACACACACACTTACATATACATTTTCATACATACACATATATATACACATTTATGTATACTTAAATATATGTATGTGTATATATAATAGTAATGACAGCAATAATGATATATGACTTATAATGATGCTAATGATAATAATGATAATGAAAATGATAATAGTTTTAGTAAAAATGTTAATATTAATGAAACTGTTAATAATGATGATGATGATATTATGAGGATCATAGTATTGAAATTAGTAATGATAATAATAGTAACAGCGATGATAATGATGATAATAATAATCTTAATGATGATAGTAATAACAATAATCTTAATGATAATGATGATAGTAATAATGATAATATTAACAATAAGAGATGGAAAAATGTAAAATTGTTGAAAGAATTTTATATGGAAACTTTTATCATTGCAGGGTGAATTTCCTTATCCAGATCCTTCGAAGTGGTCAAACGAAGAGCTCGGAATCCCTGCTGATGACGAGGATTAAGAATTATTTATAAGGTTGTCACTTTCACCGAAGTATAGCTAATGACACAGAGATCTTTTGTGAAAATGTAAATATATATATTATGTAATTTTTGGCCTTGTTTCATTAATTTTTTTCCTGTAATGTTAAGAGCCAAGGGATTTTTTTTTTTCATGTTAACTTATGTTATGTTAATTTGGAGCCATTAGGACTTTTTGGGGGGATATGGAAATTGGTTAAGGTGCTCGACATTAGATCATTCTTTACACCTCGGTATGGGTGATTCAGATATTTGTTGCAAAACCTGTGCAGCCATTTATGCCTTTTGTTTAAATTGTTATGTAGGTAATGTAACAATCTGTAGGG